GTGTGTGTGTCTCTGTGTGAGTGTGTGAGTGTCTCTGTGTGAGTATGTGTGTGTGAGTGTGTGTGTGTCTCTGTGTGAGTATGTGTGTGTGAGTGTGTGTGTTACCTCAGTAGCTGAGCAGAGCAGGCAGAGTCAGCTCAAATGTCGACTGGTCACACATCTGTCATTCTATAACAGACAAACATCAGAGCACAGGTCAGCTGAAGATCACAACACTTTCAAAACATCCGGTCAATCTGAACATAATAACAAGTAAAAAATTATTTAAATTCATTTTCTGCATCAGACGAAATCAGTAACTGAAGAGGAGATATTTAATTAGTGCTTCTTTGCTGGTGCGTTTGCTAGTGTCAGAGTCTATCTGTGCATGGATAAGCATGGAAACAGGTTTTGATGAACAGAGATCGTCTAGTCAGCGGTTCTTATGCTGCATTCATGCCATGTCGTGATTACTGTAGTTTTGAGAAGACAACACGTGACGTTCTGCGTGGAGCTGTTCACACCCTTGGACTCAGAACGATCACACATAGTGCCTAATGTCTTCACACACTGACCAAACTTACTAGAGACGTGTGGAAAGATTTGTAGCGCCTCCCGTCCAGTAATCACAATAAATAATAGTTACTTTCAGCGTGAAACAGTTTCTGCAGCTTTCAAATCTGTCATGAAATAAAAACAATCTGTGGTTTTGTGGCTCTTTAATGTGTGCTGACAGATCATCTCTTCCTCTTTACTACTAGTTGCAGCAGCAAATCAACAGGAATGATCATCAGAAGAAACAGAACAGCTCACTGAAATCAATCAAGAGAGGAGCACTACATTACACATTCATTCGGTTATACTGAGCCTGCTGTCTTTATTAATGAATGCATGTCTGAATAAATGTGAATAAAATTAGTTATTACAGCCACCATTACACAGCTTTGTATGTTGTGTGCATGCCTCATCTATCAAACCACTAATTAATATGACCCAACATGCATCACATTTCATATCAAAGTTATTCTTTGTTCATTTCCTAACAGGCTCAGAATCTGTCAGCCCACTCTGATCATCTCAATAAAACGACAGCTTCAGGAAAGGTTAACAGATCACTACTGTATATGAACCTCTTTTCAGAGAACTCAATCAAATCAGCATTACTTAGTCTTTCTGATCCCAAATCCATGATCTCTCACTCAAACATCACGACTCCATCTAGAGCCATAAGTGTTTCTGAAAGCTCATCCAAAAGCAACGCAAGTATCACAAACCCTACTGAACAGACAGCTTTTAAGATCCCACTTTACTGAAGTGCTTTAAGAAACTGATGTTTTGCTGAAGTAGTGCTTAACTGACTTTTCCTTTCCCCCATTTCTTTCTGTTTAATTCTTTCTGTTTACCTGTGTGTGACGTGACGGAGCGACTGCCTCTCTTTTATCCACACCACTGCACAATGACATGTTTCTTAATCCTGATCACGATTTCTGCTCTCTCTAGATGACGGAGACAGCACTGCTGAGCTGAAAACACTGGCACACATGTCAGCTGCAGCTTAGTGACCTCTATTGAGATATTCAGCGAGTGTGACCAGATCCAGAGCGTTGAGGAGTATGAACAGTACAAATGATCAAGCCCTCACTACTGCAGACATCAAGCAGAAATACAGAAACATCATTAATGCTGAGAAGGTTCTTGGTGTGGCCTGCATTACAGGCTGCAGTCATTCATCCAGCGCTTTCTGATTTCACAGAGGCTCCGGATCACATTTAGCAGCTTCACACTGAGCAATAGCTATGTGCAGGGCTGGGTATCGCTTGAATTTGATAAATTCCTATTCTGATTCCGGTTCTGCTTATCGATTCCCAGCTTCGATTACAATGTGGTCAAACATTTAGATATCAAACATATTTATTCTGTGTCTCTTTTTGCAAAACATTTGATTGCTGCTGAATACCATGAACACAAATCAGCCGGCTGCATAAAAACTCTCTCACACACTCTCACACAAACTCACTATCTCTTACACCTTTATTATTTAATTACTAATACTGTTTCAATTAATAATTAAAAAAAAAAAAATTTGAAAAAAAGTGGAGGAAATGAGCTTAACCGTCATGAAAAAAAATGCTTAATGGTTAATAAAACAATAAAATATAATTTATATTTTTTCTTTTAATTTTAGGGTTAAGATTTACCATATTATTGTGAAAATTAAAAGCAAAACAAACAAAGATACTGGAAATAAAACGAGTCATGTGAGGCTAGCAGCGACTTCTTGGACACTGGAAAGTTTCTTTTAGGATGAAACTGATGAAATATCTCATGACCTTTCTGGATATTTTTCCAAATAGCTGCAAGATAACGAATGGGTTCGATGTTAACATAAACACTTAGCAGTAATAAAGCAAATAAAGTGCTAAAAGTAGTGAGTCACTGAGCTCTACTGAGTGTTCACTCGATAAAATACACACGCTCAAACACACACACACACACACACACTCACTACACACACACACACACACACACACACACACACTCTCTTACACGCTCTCATACACTCACTCACTCTCTCACACACACACTCTCTCTTACACACTCTCATACACTCTCACACACGCAGACACACACTCACTCTTACACACACACTTACACACTCACACACACACACACACACACTCACTACTCACACACACACACGCTCTCTTACACGCACTCTCTCTTACACACTCTCATACACTCACACTCTTACACACTCTCACACACTCACTCACTCTTACACACTCACACTCTCATACACTCTCTCTCACACACACACTATAATTTATATTTTTAAAAAGAGGGTGTATTTATATCAAGATAATCACTAGTAAATGACTATTTCCGGTACGGATCGAGTAGTGACAAGCCCAGCACAGCGGTGACGCAACCGGAAGCGGAATGCGACATTCTCTTATTCTTCTTCTTCTTAATGTTTAACGGCGGTTGGCATCCAGCTTTACACACTCTCACACACACACACGCACACACACACTCACTCTTACACACTCACACACACACACACACACTCACTACTCACACACACACACTCTCTTACACGCACTCTCTCTTACACACTCTCATACACTCACACACACACACTCTTACACTCACTCTCTCTTACACGCTCTCATACACTCACACACACACACACTCTCTCTCTCTCTTACACACTCTCATATATATGTCCATGGATCCATATTTAGGAAACGTCGAAACATTATGGACTCTGACGTCACGACACAGCATCTCTGTGAGCGCGCACTGATATATATATATATATATATGTCATCATGCAATTATTAGTACAGACTGATCCGTATGAAGCCAAACGCGCGCTTCTTCTTTTGATTTTATGGCGGGTTGCGAGCCAACTTGAAAGGTGCATACCGTCACCTACTGTGATGGAGTGTGAAGAGAATGAACTAAGCCCTCCTAATATATCCTATTATATAACCCACTATTCTTAATAAATCTAGAATATTTGAACAGGTTACAGCAAGCATCTCTGTGGGCGCGCACTGATATATATATATATATATATGTCATTGCAATTATTATAGTACAGACTGATCCGTATGAAGCCAAACGCGCGCTTCTCGCATCATTTACAGAATAAAGCAGGAAGCAGTGTGTGTGTGTGGAGCGCAGTGCCCTAGGCAGCACATGATGAACTCACCTAGTTAGGGTGCACAGACGATCAGCTGTCAACTCCTGCCGAGAGCCCTGTGACTACTCGATCCGTACCGGAAACACGATTTGTACTGCGCATGCGCGAAATTGCTTCCACTTCCTGTCACCGCCAACGTTTTTACGACAGTCTAGCGATATGGATTCTTTTGCGTTCTATATACAGGTTCAAGAATTTCTCTTAAAAGGAGAAATTCCTGACAATTCTGCAAATCGTCGGAAGGTTAGACGGGCGTCGACGAATTTTATCATCAAAGGTAACTATTAGTACCGAAATATTTTATAATGAAAAAGAGAATTGACTCTGTTACAACCTGGGC